CTTCAAAGGGTTAACCGGCTGATTTTCGTAATGGTGAGGGGTAGTGTTTTCTTCGCGGTACGGACTGAATTCATAAATAATATTCAGACGATCTTCGGCTTCAAAGGGTTAACCGGCTGATTTTCGTAATGGTGAGGGGTAGTGTTTTCTTCGCGGTACGGACTGAATTCATAAATAATATTCAGACGATCTTCGGCTTCAAAGGGTTAACCGGCTGATTTTCGTAATGGTGAGGGGTAGTGTTTTCTTCGCGGTACGGACTGAATTCATAAATAATATTCAGACGATCTTCGGCTTCAAAGGGTTAACCGGCTGATTTTCGTAATGGTGAGGGGTAGTGTTTTCTTCGCGGTACGGACTGAATTCATAAATAATATTCAGACGATCTTCGGCTTCAAAGGGTTAACCGGCTGATTTTCGTAATGGTGAGGGGTAGTGTTTTCTTCGCGGTACGGACTGAATTCATAAATAATATTCAGACGATCTTCGGCTTCAAAGGGTTAACCGGCTGATTTTCGTAATGGTGAGGGGTAGTGTTTTCTTCGCGGTACGGACTGAATTCATAAATAATATTCAGACGATCTTCGGCTTCAAAGGGTTAACCGGCTGATTTTCGTAATGGTGAGGGGTAGTGTTTTCTTCGCGGTACGGACTGAATTCATAAATAATATTCAGACGATCTTCGGCTTCAAAGGGTTAACCGGCTGATTTTCGTAATGGTGAGGGGTAGTGTTTTCTTCGCGGTACGGACTGAATTCATAAATAATATTCAGACGATCTTCGGCTTCAAAGGGTTAACCGGCTGATTTTCGTAATGGTGAGGGGTAGTGTTTTCTTCGCGGTACGGACTGAATTCATAAATAATATTCAGACGATCTTCGGCTTCAAAGGGTTAACCGGCTGATTTTCGTAATGGTGAGGGGTAGTGTTTTCTTCGCGGTACGGACTGAATTCATAAATAATATTCAGACGATCTTCGGCTTCAAAGGGTTAACCGGCTGATTTTCGTAATGGTGAGGGGTAGTGTTTTCTTCGCGGTACGGACTGAATTCATAAATAATATTCAGACGATCTTCGGCTTCAAAGGGTTAACCGGCTGATTTTCGTAATGGTGAGGGGTAGTGTTTTCTTCGCGGTACGGACTGAATTCATAAATAATATTCAGACGATCTTCGGCTTCAAAGGGTTAAATGCTGTTTATAGATAACGTAAAAGAGGCTGATCGGATCAAACAATAGCTATCAATAAAGACCTTGTCAAAATAAACCCAGAAGTTTTTGAATTTGTGAGTTAACACAGCATAAAATATATTTTGTTTAATAATGCCGAAAGCGATAAAACTTAGGGATAAATTTTAGCGCCTGATAGTAATATATTATTTATTTTTACACCACAATAAGTTTTTCGAAATATTTTTCGCTCTCATAAATATTTATTGAGTTACGTGTGAATCATACTTACAGACGCACGCAGAAATCCATGCAGGTCTTTATAGTGTCCATATAAGAGCTCCCTACCGGTCTCAATCCTTTCTCTGTTACTTTCTCCCTCTTAAATCGAAAGATTCTCCACAGAACCCTGTTCTCAGACACCCTTTTTCTGTTTTCTTTTCTCCGAACGAAATACCAAGTTAATCAATTGCGTGTGTGTTTGTTAGCGTAACATTTGAAGCAAGTTTCCGATTTTAGCTAAATTTGGTATGAAATTCGTTCCACTATTGTTTGCCTTATTTGTAACATTACATTTTCTAAATAATATTAACTTTGCGGCAAAACGGATAATTTACAAGTGGATATATATATATATATATATTTTCTTTTTTGCAATGTGAATTTTAAGTGTCATAGTGGTTTACAGATGTATTATAAATCCATGTTGTGGTGTATGCTTAGCTGAAAATGATGGAATGTAATATTAAAATAAATTGGTAATGTTATACCTGTGGTAGCTCATCAAAATTACAACAGTAATAATATGTTTTAAGATTGATGTTTGTTTTACTTTACTTGTGACACAGTATTTCTGATTGCAGGCCTTGGAATTAAAAGTATAAATAATTTGATTCTCCATTATTATTGTTAAGTAATGTGTTAGGAAATGTTTAATTTATTTCTTATTGCAGAATTGTATGAATACTGTTTGCGAGAGAACATAGCAGATAAGAACCTAATTGCAAAATGGAAGAAACAAGGTTATGAAAATCTGTGCTGTCTTCGATGCATCCAAACCAGAGACACAAATTTTGGTACCAATTGCATATGTCGGGTTCCAAAAGGGAAACTTGAGGAAGTAAGTTTTTGAAATAGCTTGTTCTTTTAATTTGGTAAGTGTTTTAGAAATTGAATCTCCTTAACATGAAGTGATGATGCCAGGTTTAGCTAACTGCTGTACAGCAAACTGTGGGGTGTAGTCAGATTGTTATTTTTTTTTTTTTACCATGACATTTGATTCAATAGCAAAGTATTTATTGAACATATAATACACTTTATGTTATGTTGTGATAACAGAAATATCAACAAATCTTAATTATGTAAGAACTCAGTTTTAATGTGCTGAAATATTTTCTGTTATATTACTTCTGCTCTATAGAGGCATTTACTGCAATTGAACATTATTAAGTTCTGTAGACATATATGTAAGTAACTATAATAAGTATGCACTTATAGATTTGTTTTCTGTTGTATTAAGTGTTCATATTTATATTATGACATGTTTCACATATACTATGATGGCTATGTGGAATGCACATAAATTGTAATTTTACGATTATGTGTGTGTGCAGGTTCAAGTGTGTGTGTTTGTTTATTTGTGTGTATATATATTAGTTTAATTTTTATGCATATTGTTAAAAGTTTTGATGCATAAAAGTTATAAAATTCAAATTTTGTTGAAGAACGGGATCCAAAAGTTTTGAATTTGTTAACATAAGCCATTGTTGCATTTCCCTATGAACAGTCATTCTAAGTCTTGACTAGAGGCATTTTATATTCCAGCCTATGTCAAATTACGTTAGAAACGTTTGTTCTTATACTGAAAACACAGAAATTCCGCTAGTTTCTATAAATATCTTACTTTTGATTTACAACCACAAAAGGAGTATTTCTAAAAACTTTTGTCCAGTCACTGGGAATGTCAGTAGGATACTTTTTATTATAAGGCCTGCTCTCCTTAACAGCTGCATAATATGTGATTGACTGCAGGAGATATTTGTGTTTGGACTGAGCATTCCCAACATTTAAACACCTGTTTTGATCTTAAACTCACTGTAATGGGTACAGCTGAGTGTGGTATTTTTAAACTCTGTACTGTTATTTTTGTTATTTGTGTTATTTGTGTGCTGCAGTACTAGAGAGCTTTACTAAAAACCATAACAAATTGTGTACTGAAAGGAAACTTCTGTCTGTGAATGTGAAATTTGCTATTTTCAGGGTCGCATTGTGGAATGCATTCACTGTGGATGCAGGGGCTGCTCAGGATAATGACAATATATTAGGAACATCTGTGAATAATACATTCTGTAATTGGTGATAAAAGTGGCAGTATATGTATGTAATGGATTCCAGGGCAATACTTGTAAGTAATGATGAAATGAGTTTTGATACAGTGTGAATGTATGGTGGAGAGTTTTAGCTGTAAGGTATGGTATAAGTTGATGCCCATGAGATGGGAGAAGAAATATTCTGTATTGTACAGAGAGTCCCATGTAACTCGAAACCCACATATTTGCTTGCGACTGCTACGTTCTGCATTGATACTAGTCTTCCAGTAGTTCACATGCTGCTGTGGCTGTGGCTTGCTCTTGTGGATGTTGCCATGTTAAGTGGGACACTCTATAGTAACAGGGCTCATTATGAATTATTTTTGTAAACAGAACGGAAGAGGTGTTATAAAAGAGTGTGTATAACTGTATTTATATATGTATTTTCTTCCTGTTGTGCATGTGTGTCCACAGATTACTTTCCTTTGATATTTATTCTCCTACAGTTATTATTTATTTATTGTTGGTTCTTGAACAATTTAATGTTTTTACCCCATTTTTTTTAGTTCCATGAAATACAGGAAAGTATCTCCATATTACAAGTTTTCATGGAATATAGGTATGAAAATAATGCTATACATAATAGGAAGTCATTCATTATTGAGAATTAATGATGCCAATATGGTGGTAACCTGAAGTTCAGTGAGGGGAATGATGCAAGCACAATTTTATGTTCTGAAATTTTGTGTTTTAGACATCTGTGAAGAATATGCCATTTTTATTGAAGTCAGTTCTCTTGTACAAGCTAGATTTGGATTATAAGCATGGTGAGGGCATCATGCCAGAAGTGTGTGTCAGCATATTTGCATAATTGGATATATTTTGTCTAACAACATAAAGTAGTGGTTTGCATGTCATGCCAGAAGGGCATAATGCTGATTGTGCTCTACACAGAGATACATATGAGCTTATGGATACTAATAATGTACATTTGTCAAACCAGAAGGGGGAGGAATTCAGTCTTCCATAAGTAGGATTTGAGGTATTTTTGGAGGTTTAGTGATAAGATACGTGAATAAAGCACTTCTTCTACCATCAATCCCTAATAATGTACTCTGCAGTGTTTATTTTTATTTTTGTTCATGGAAGAGGAAAATGCCTTGTTCTGTGTTTGTGCTTGTTGTGTCTGCCTTGAATATACATCTGCAAAGGAGATAGCACAGCAAGTTTTAGTTCTTTCTGTATTCTCTGCAACTTTCTAATGTGATGATAGAGGCAGTAAACACATCTGAAACGCCGGACGGTTTGTACCAGACTACACGCCACAATGACCAGAAGACAAGTCACCTTAAAATCTGTAAAATTTACTATTCAAGAGATATTGGTTTGAGGGGGGGTTGGTGATGTGATTGGCGACCGAGCTCCGGGTGTTATTTTGGACAAATCGATTGTTCCACTGTAGTTGCTCACAGATGGCAGCACAATACGTGCTTGAGGGCAGCCAACTTATAACATCGAATTTAAGATCTGTTTGTTGGTATGTTGGTTTAGCGACATCTAGATAGAAGAAAGGAAAATGGAGCTGTTCCGGTTAATGATGTAGCGAGAAAATAGGGTTAATTTGTAGTGAAATAGCGGACACGATGCAGAAGAGGTATGAGTTGCTGTAAAATTGTTCATTTGTGTGTGGCCGTTATTTTACCACTAATCAGGGTATAACATTTACTTCTATTTGCACCAGGTTAGAGTTCTAAATAAGTCGGTTCATAGTTGGGTATGTTGATTGTAATTAATAATAATAAATATATATAGGACAGCAATATTTGTGTATGTTGAAATGTAATATTTGTAGAAATATATTTTACAAGGTGAATTGGTGATACATGTTGGAAAGAATCTTTATAGGGCGAAAAAAACGTTCATTGCTATTATTAAGATTTCCTGGATACTGGGTGATATATGAAGTAAGATTTTTATATTGCTCCCGTTACGAATTTGGGGGACTTTAAAATGCAAAGGACACATGTGAGCACGTTCTAGCGAGGGTCCAGAGAATTGTAAATTTTGCTTAGTTGTTTCATGCTGTCCATGGCAACCTGACGTTGCTTCGTCAGCACTTTGCCCAAACTCTGAATTTTAATTAGGGAAGTACAGCGGTCTGTGTTTGCAGCTGATGACATACCTTTGTCTAGTGTCACATAAAAATACATGACTCAGCAGACAACTTCAGACTGTTTGAAGTTGTTATATTATAATTTTTGTTATAATTTTTTATTATACATTTATTTTTTGTAAGGAATTATGCTAATTAGATTAATCTACTCTTGCATTAATTTGTACAGGTTATTAGCTTAATCGAGCTTTGAGACTATAATGAATGGCAAAAGAAAAGTGTTATGTATGTCTGTAGCTGGTCCAAAAGCTGATTTGTGTGTTAAATAAGCATATATAACTTTTAATTATGAAATTTGGATCTTTTTTCTCAAGTTGTATTCTTTCAATTTTAGGTGTACTGTTACAAGTGTGATGTAAGTATGATCCAGATGGATAAAACTGGTGAGAAAGAAGAGACATGTCGTGACAGTGAGAAGAAAGTTATCACTGAAGGCAAGGCAGAGGTGCTGATTTATTCATCCAAAAACGTATTTTACAACCCTGTTCAAGAATTTAATAGGGATTTAAGGTATGTGTAGAAGAATTCTATTCTGATATCAGTTTTTATACAAGGAATCAATGATTGTTGATGATATTGGTTTTACTTGCATTCATCTATGTGTGTCAGTTTGTAAGTTGGAAGGGGGGTCACATCTGATGTATTTTTGGTTTGTAAAGTATTGCAGTTCTGACATTATGTGCACAAGACCATTACCAAACATTGCGGGAGAGAAACATGAAGAAAAATGAAAAATCACTAGAAGATGGTTCTTCAGATGTTCCAGTAGAGAAGTTGACAGCTGGGATAAAATACGAGGTACAGTAGAAACTTCAGCCCTCTGCTAGTAAGAGTGAGAGCAATGGAGCAGTACATAAGAATATCAGAATCCTGATTTAGAAAGGCAGAAGTTAGTTGGAATTGATAAGGTATTCAAGTATGCGCCATGAAGGTGTAGAGAGGGAGTGGAGGTAAAATTACTTACATTCTTCAAATAAAAAGTTTTTTGGATGTTATCCATCGTCTAATAAAATGATAAAATTGAACGACGTTTCGGAGATGGGACTCTATCAGCCATCTTCAGGTAACCTGCTCTGTTGGGCCCAATCGATAGAGCTAATCCCTATCTCTGGACAAAGCAAACTGGGATTAGCTCTATCGATTGGTCCCAACAGAGCAAGTTACCTGACGACAGAGATAGAGTCCCGTAATAAATGAATAATTTCTGTAGCTTTAGAAAGAACCACAGATGTAGCGTGAACGATATTTTAGGGAAATTCCACACCATTTTATCGTTACTTGCCTTGTATTACATTAAGTTTATTCCATTGCAATTTTGAACGAGATATAATTAATAATTAATCTCCTTAGCGAATTTTCGGCGACTAATATATAAAGCGGGGTAATTAATATTAATTACATAAATGAACGTAATTATAACAAAATATCGATAACTAATTTGCGCTGTAATTCTCGTGTGAAGCTCTAATCTGTTATTTAATTTCGAATTGAATTTTGATCCAGTTACTGTTCTGATATTAAGCATGTAACAAAACAGGATTAAATACATTAGGCACCAAAATAAAACAAAGGTTTCATAATAGCCTACTGAAGTGATTACAAGTTTATAAAACACTTGCGTGTCGATTCTGTTTAACTGTGGGTTCACGAAATTGAGAATGCAATTTATGTACTCTTGACTCTTTCCGGGTTTAAAGTTTAAAAAAAATGGCGGTTATTATTTAACTGGATAAAGTAGTCTGGAAGGTTAAGTTAATAATTAAAAATTTGTTAGAATTAGAATAATTGCTAATAACAGAGTAAAAATAAAACGTGACAAATCATTCACCTTTTTCTATAGCAAACATTTCCTTAGCTTCTAAAATATAAAAAAAATTATTTGCTAAAGAAGTTTTATTTATAAACCGTTACTACCTAATTTTATAATTGTTTAAAAGAGTTTATTAACCAATTTCATAAACAATACGTAACATACCAGATTGATAATATGAAAGATAACAAACGCATTAAAATATGTCAACGAACCAGTTTGCGTCATGGAACAGAGTCCTTCTTCAAAAATAAAGAGTAGCTTAGCTAGTCAATATAAGCTCGCATTTAATGGTACCGGAATAATTAACTCCGTGTTAAGAACACAAGTACGCTGCCCTTTAATCAGCTAGCTGAATCGAACTTATACCTTCACACATCATTTATTAAGAACTATTTTAATATAATGCTCCTACCTACGGCAAAGCCACCTATACAAAATATAAAAAATAAACGATAAATATTAAACAAACACACCGTAAAATAATTAGTAAACAAAATTAATATGGAGAATAAAAATTACAAGAATCACAAAGGCAAAGAATGAGACAACGAAGAACATGCATTGGCAAAAAGTTTTAACCTTCCTATAATTATCAGTGTTGAGAAGATTTATTAAAAAATGTTTATGGTTTACTGTGCCTACGATGTAAAAGTGGTTACACGGAAGTGTAATCCAGTGCTTTTGAAAATGACAGAACTATAAAGAAAATAAAATAATTTCGCTACATAAGTCAGTATTGCTCAAACCGGAACAGAGTACAGCTCCTGTTTGTGTGGGGCGTCTCTTAGCAACTGTCTGGAGTGACGGCTGAGAAAAGCTATCGTAAGTACGTATAATACACAGCAACATGATAAGTAATAATTTTTCCTTAAATGTAATTACAAAATCTTGTTAATAGTTATCAATTATATTCAAAATCAGGCATACCTCGGATATATTGCGGGTTCGGTTCCAGACCACAGCAATAAAGCGAGTCACAAGAATTCTTTTGGTTTCCTAGTGCCTATGAAAGTTATGTTTACGCTATACTGTAGTCTGTTAGTGTGCAATAGCATTATGTCTAAAAATACAATGCGAGAATTACCAAAATGTGACACAGAGACACGAAGTGAGCACGTGCTGTTGGAAAAATGGCGTTGATAGACTTGCTCGACGCAGGGTTGCCACAATTTGAAAAAAAATTATCAATATCTGCAATAAAAAAACTCCTAAAATTACCTTGTATCCAATTGCGTTCTCTCTTTAAGATTTTACATCTGTTACTCCATTCTGTATTCTGTCAATGTAAAGACAGATCTCAGAGCAGAAGAGGTACGACTCTGAATATCGTCGTGTTATAACCAATCAACAGCCTATTTTATAGACAAAACATGCGGACGGACAGAAATTCCCCGAAACTTTAAGATCGCTGGTTGATTCTCAGTTTTGTAGTTACCGATACGTCTAACATCGACTGCAACGCTCTACTCTGGTGCCATAGCAACCACTGGCTGTGTGCCTGACGTACTCGACCGGAAATTTTCCTTTCAACCGGGCATAAAAAGTTTATAAAATACGGGGCTGAACACAAAGGGAACACATAGAAGAGAAAAAACCCAAAGCTTGTGATACGAATGTGGCTTCAATAACAGTTTCTTCAGGACAGGATTGATGAAGGATTATTTGATGTAGAATTTACACTTGGGAGGACAAGCGTCTGAATTAATCTCGCCAAATTTAGCAAAAATTGGAAACAAGAGAATAGGCAAAGAAGAGAGAGACGAGGGTTGGAAAGGAAGAGAGAAAGACAGCAAGAAAGGAGGAAAACATGGAAAATGGAAAAAATAAAAAAAATCCAAACGAAGTTAAAATTAAAACAAAGTTGGAAAAAGATGAAAGGAATAAACACGAACCAAATTAACTGTTGACAAAATAAAGGATGAAAGAGATACAGAACGAAGGATAGAGAGAAAAGGGTAATAACATAGAACGACAAATAAGAAGGAAAGAATGATAAGAGAAACACAACAGAAACAGAGAGAGAATAAGGCAAGAGAAAATGATATAGACGGAAAGAAAGAAAGAAGTAAAGATCAGAATAGAAAAGAAGAGACTACTAGGGCTCAGTGGCTATCACCGCGACCACCAATGCGATGTTTTAGGTTCAGCCGAGTTGAGTGCGGGGTTTGAATCCCACCGCTAAGATACAGCTGTTCTGAGGTGCGGAGCAGTTGCCTGTCTGCTTAACGCACACCCCTCCCCCCCCCCCAAAAAAAATGTGCCTAGGGGCAGTTTCATCCTTCTTCTTGAGGTAACGAGCTACCACCATTACTTAACCCTTTGAAGCCGAAGATCGGTTGAATATTATTTATGAATTCAGTCCGTACCGCGAAGAAAACACTACACCTCACCATTACGAAAATCAGCTGGTTAACCATTTGAAGCCGAAGCTCGTCTTCATAATATTTACGAATCCAGACCGTACCGCGAAGAAAACACTTCACTTAACCATTAGAAGTCGAATCAGGCGGTACCACATAAGATTTAACAAAAGAACATCCCTTAATAACCTACTTCATCCGTTTGTTGTGCGGGCCTGCATAACATAAACGATTCGAATACATCAAAGATTCGCTCTACGGAGGCTGCAATACATTACAGATGAATTAACAGGATTTGGTTTACTTTTCAAACACCCATCCGCCCCATTGGGTTTCACGCCCAGAGATAACATTTGCGCAACTGAAACTATCTCATAGTCCAGAGTGTCCTCAGCCGAGATTCCGGGCCACTGTTGTCTTCTGAACGTGGATAACGACTCCCCTGAATGTGCGTAAATGATTCGACCTTGCTGAATTTATTAATTTGCCTAAATGTTCTCTGCGCCATGATATCCTGGGGCCTTTTATTCAAACATTTCGTAAATCAGCGTTTAAGCAACTTTCTTTAACGTAGCAAGTTGCGTCTGACTTACATTCCTTCTGTCGGAAAGTAGTACAAGGCTTTCGTAGGAACAGGATAGAGAGAGATAAATAATTACATTTGAAAGAAAGGGAGTGGAGAAGAATGGAAGAAAATCATAAAAGAAGTGAAATAGAAATACGTAGGGAAACAGGGAATAAAACAAATGCAAAGAAAGAGAGAGACAGAGAACACGTAGCAAGAAATGGGGTTGTGGGCAGGATACAATTTGTGAATCTCTGTTTTGTGCGTAAATTATTCCTGTCCTCCTCTTTAAATAATGGCAACCTCTCGGTGGAGTTGCTAACCGCGTCGTTCTTCCAAAACTTTTTCAGTGTGGGAAGTGACTTTATAAAAGTCACTGAAGCGTTGAACTTCTGGTTTGTAACGCCACGTGGACTTGCATGTGGATATCAATGTTTCAGAGGAACATACTTCCTTCATCTTCATCTCTGAAGATGGAGGTAGTCTGTCCCTCCGAAACATTGGTATGCATCTCGGAATCCACACGAAGTTACAATTCAGAAGATCAATACCGATCTTTCTGAACAACGACGTATCACCCCAACCCAGAAGGATGGTCACTTCACTCCACTCGTAAATCCTTAACTCACCATAAGAAATACACGGTGAATAGCACAAATTATGAAGCTCGTCACTTACAGTTGAGACAACAACAACGCACACGCCAAAAGCCAACTTTCGATCATTAAACTGATTATAAAGAAGCCAATTTCATACCTACTTTGACGCTTTTAGTTAACGCTTGTTTACCAGAGACGCAATACAGCCGCTACTAAAAGTTGACAGTAATGACGCTAGATGACAAAGTGTTCTGTGCCAGGGTCCAGTAATTTGAATGAGGGTCTTTGGTTTCACAAATATGATGTCGCATGGAGTTGAATATTTTAAGCGGGATAAGGTCGCTGTGATAGACAACAGGCACTTTCGAACGTAAAAGAAACGAAGCATAATATGGGGAAGGGATTGGAAAGGAATAAGTAGAAAAGAGGGAAGGAATGTAACAAAAGAACAAAGGAAGAATATGAACGATTGAGGTACAAAAGATGATTACCACAAGTGTTCAAAGAGCTCACCTTGTCGAGTTCCATCTTCAGGCCTTCGTGAGCACCGTCATCTCTGTATCGCCCTGCAGTCCGTTCTCCGTTGTCATGGTTTCTGGCCCTCTCCTGTAGTTTCTGGCCGCCCCTGCGTCGATCGCAGTCTCCTCCTGGTCCATGGCGCTCAGACACTCATCATTCCTCGTCGATTCACGGCCACCCAGACTCCTACTACCGCCGACTCCCGCTGTAACACCTCCAGATGAACCCCCTGCTCCTCTGTGTTTCCTCCTTCTTTTGGATACACTTGACCTC